CCTAGTTGCTCTCTTATCTCAAATACTGTGTAATGGTTCTCATGTCAACAAAATAAGCAACATTGGCATCAATATAATGGAAATAATTAATAGCACCTGATAATATATTAAAATGGCATATTTACAAAGTTATTAAAAAATTCCTGAAGTGGCATTACACCAAAATGAGTGAGTACTTTGTCAGTTTTATTTTAGCTTTCACAGAGAAACATTTTTAGTAAATATCTGTACTTTCTCAGCAGTCAAGTTTATTAAAGTCTAAGTAAAGAGAATAAATGATCAAATCTTACAGAGATGCTGATCCTTAATGTGTTTGCTCTGCGGACCTCAGCATGTGCATTTAGAATCCAAACAGTTTCTGTTTCAAATTCACTATGGCAACATTGCCATGGTAAAGACTCTTGGACAGACACGCTTACAATGTTTTCTTTCTCACACTCTCACTCTCTTTCTCTCTCCCAAACACACGTATACACACAAGGGAGGAAGAAGTGTTGGGCAGATTTCACCTACCGGTACCCAGAAAAAAAGTAAAAAATAAATACATTCAGAGAACTAAGGATTTGCACTACGTCTTTGTGTATTTAGTGAAAGAAAATTATAGAAAGCCAGACAAAGACTGTGCTACTATATGAGAAAGTCAGGAGTGGCAGAGAAGTATGTGAGGGTTGTGCAGGACATGTATAAAGCTAGCGACAGTAGTTAGGTATGTTGTGATGTAAGGGATCGGCTCGGAGACACTTTTTGTTTACTAATGTTAGCTATAGCTATAACAGATGATCGGGTTCAGAGAGAAAAGGTTTCTAAAATGTTGAATATAATATATATATATATTATAATGGCATCAATAACAAATTACCTTTTTTCTTTTCTAGGTATCTATTTGCGAATGTTTTTACAGTAGCCTGCATGTTGTGTTATGCACTACTGTGATTCATCAATGCTATTGTGTAAGTATATACAGAAACTCTCCTGTTTCTTTTTTATTGGCTATTAAACCTCTGAAATTGGATAGAAATAAGTTACGACAGACTTTTTACTTTTTTCAAACAGGAAAACCTCATTTATGACAAATGTACAGCACAAGGACGATAAGCCAAACAGAACAGTGTGAGCAGGTGGAGTCAAACCATCAGCAGCACGTGACAAGGTGCAGAGTTTTATTGAACCAGTGGCGTGCTGTAACAGTAAAACACTGCTGTGGAGACAAGGGGATTTTGACTGAAGAAAGATCTGGGCATTTACCATGGATTTAAATGGAACTCTCAGTGGAGAAGAGGTAAGCTCAGATAGAACACTTTCCATAAAACAAAACCCTCGTAACATTCTACACAAATGTCCTTTCTTTACAATCCTAACGACTGCGTTGTCTTCTTTCAGATTGATGTTCTCACAACTGTGTACTTGGTGTCGCTCACTCCTAGGTAACTGTCTTTTTGCCCCTTGTCACCTACAAATTTAACTCAACTTTATGGGCCACAGGTAAACAACAGAACTTATGTTAGGATAACGTATGGTGTTATTTGCACTTTAAAACTAAATTTACCATCCACGTAGGGAGATTGTGTCACTATTTCTAGATACATTAGTTTCATTTTTGTTAGCTAATGGTAAAGAATGTCAACAATTTGACAGAAATCTAACTAGGCACAGGACTAAGAGATTAAATAACCTATATAAGAGCTTTAAATAGATGGTTCTAAAGTCATTGAAAGACATTTTCTTATTTAGTTTAAGCCTCATTTTCTGACACCCAATTCTCCTGTGTCAATGCCCATATCACATTCCTGATAGTATGAATACATTTGCTATTTGTTAATTCAGATTATTTTGTAAACATTTTGCAAAAGTGAATGGTTTGGTTTAATAATTGATGCATACTTTTTTTTTATCTAGTGTCATTGGGAGCCTTTCTGTGCTAGTTGTGTCCATACTAAGATGGAAACACCTAAAACAACAGGTAAGTCAAACTGTACATGTATTGTATACACTATACTGTGTGTGTGCACATGTGGCTGGGTGAAATGTTTGTATAAATCCCCAGATCAAACGCTTGATAAACTAAAATTCCACATATTTAATCTGAAACTGACAAAATAAACTCTATCTAGGTTAAACTCAGTCACTCTTGACTTTGTGTTTTATATTTGTTTATATTTCTTCACCAACATTAGTTTGATAAAGAATCATACAAAGATATTTTTTAACCTAGATCAACAAAGTTTTTAAAAATACATGAAAACGGGTAAATTCATTAATTAATCTAGGGATGTCTGATATTATTGGCCTGGTATTAGCATATTATGTAATATCTGTAAGAAAATGAAAACCAGACAACGCAATGTTTGGGTTAAATCAAATGATGTGTGCCTTAAAAATTGTTTGGGGGATAAACAGCTGTATATCAAAGCAAAGATCACTAGATGGCAGCATTTAATTCATCTCATTTAATTCTCATTTAATTCATCTCATACTCATACAGTGGTTTGTAGAGATATATAAATAAATATGACTAGGCCAATATCGGTATCGTTTGATATCGGAATCGGAAGTTAGGTGTTTGGAGAATATCGGCAAAAAGTTAATATCGGACATCCCTATCTATAACTCTCCTGTCTTTACAGTCTAAATCCTGTGGTTAATATTAATTATCTGCTGGTAACATTCTTGAATATGAACTGATTATTGATTATTTATATTTGCTTACCTACCCGATTGCTGTTGCCTAAGAACAGGGCTGCCCAATAGGTAGATCAGGACGTACCAGTAGCTCTTTTAATTTAACTTTATTTATTGTTTTGTACCTGGTTTTGAAGCTCAAGTTTAAATCAAACTTTCATGCACAAGAGCTTTGTCTTGACCTTGTGTGTTTCACTGGCTTAACGTATAAATACTGGTGAATGTTTGTTTCAGGTGCATCTCCTCATGCAGCTAGCCCTAGCAGATCTGTTGGCCGCTCTCATCCTGATGTCCTCCAGTGCCATGAACAGACTCCAGACGGACAGCAGTGTAACCATCTGTCAATACATTTTGCCACTATCGCTGGTGAGAACGTCCCTTCGTCCCCAGTCACCTTTCTCTCAGTGGCATTATGTCATTTCAGCAGTAAAACCCTCTGTGTTTCATATATTGCTTCTATAAACTTGTGTGCTGAGCAGTTGTGCTGTGTCATGTCTCGTATTATGTAAATACATAGTCTGTGCAGAAGAGCATGTGTTACTGTTTTTACTATTATATTAGTTACGGCTGTAGACTCAGATATTATGAAGGAATGCTGGTATAAAAAAGACCCACATACACTAACACACTGTTTCAGGTGCTTAAGGCTGCATGCTATCCATGTAAGTGGCACAGCGTTACAGTTGTGTACAGTATAACATTACCTACTGTCATTTCTGTTCATCTGTTCCAGACGTGTTATTTTATTTCATTTCTGCTTGTGGTGGTTTATGCCTGGAAGTCTAAGAATGCAATCCAAGGATGGAGAACAAGACCAGAAGATGTTGAAAATACACAGGTACAACCCTACATGGGTCAATTTGAGGATTGAGATTGAGATAATTATACATTTTATTTTATTTTATCATTTTACCTTTTGCTTTACAGAATCAGTGTAGGAGGAAAAGAGTCTTGTTACCAGTATACTTGATTGTATGGTGAGGTTTAACTATTGAATTGTTTTCTTTTTTCCAGACTGATGATTTACTGACAATCATGATCTAATTTTTCTCTGTCATTTTCCACAGGTTGACTCCTATAGCAATTTACTTAGCATATGTTCTGACTCCCTTCATAAAAACAACTCCATTAATTCCAGACACTAACAAATCCACGATCCTTCAGAACGAGAGCAAGTACTGCACCAGGTGAGCCCACAGTAATCATTCAAATCCAATTAAAGAGTCGGTAAGGTTAGGGTCAATTCAATGGACAATGTGTTTTGTGTGTGTTTTAACATTAATGACCTTTCTTCTGTCACAGTTGTATTTTGTTTCTACATGTGTGGAGGGACTCCTGCTCTGATGCTGTGAGTACAGTGTGAAACTCTCACTTATTAAACCCTACTAGACTTAAAAAAAAAGAAAGATATTATGTAGAAAAGGAATGGCTTTAAGTGACATTTTCCTGGGGGGAGAGGAAGACCTCAATGCACCATGGGAGTTCCCCCAGCAGTCTAGGCCTATAGCAGCACAACTAAGGAATAACTCAGTTTAGCCAGTGTTCTAGACTTTTTCAAAAAGGAAGGTTTTAAATCTAACTTTAAATGTAGCGAGTGTCATCCTCCGTCTGTTAGTTTAACCGTTTTTTAACTTTTTGCATTTTTGTGCGTTTGTTTTTCTCGTCAGGAGATCATTCATGACACCTTCATCAAGGTTTTTCTCTTTCTTGTGGTGATACCAGTGATGCTGTCTTGCTCTGTAAGTCCCAAGTGTTCAACAGCGTTATCTCAAGCTAAAGCTAATTGTTTTTCTATAGCTGAGATGTAACCATGGTTCTTATCATTATAGGTCATTTATTACAAGGTTGGAAAATGGTATCAAAGGTATACCAATCAAGATCTGTTTCCAGTGGAAGGAGATGGGCAGTCTAGACGGAGATTCAAAAATATGTTTTCTACAGCAGGGAAAATGGTGATGGTCATCCTGTTCTGCTGGGTCCCAGGTACTGTACACCTCTACATGTTTCTGCATCCAGGATGGTGACACACAGATTATCTGACTCATGTGTTTTATTGTCCCATTGGTTCAATGCAGCTCTTGTCCTCATTCTCCTTTCTACTCTTATAACTTGGACAAATGTGGGACAGCGCAGCCTGTTTGGCCTCTACATAATACAGGTAGAACTTTTAAGCACAAAATGGCAGTCAAAAAAATTTAATCAAATGGCATTTTGGTCTAGAGTTTGAGTTTTGTTTTAATGTTATTTGTTTCAGGCTGCTAGTGTGTCCCTGCAAGGTTTCCTGAACAGTTTGGTTTATGCGTGGAGACGAACAAATTTCACAGAGGCTGTTTTAGGGGAGAACACGCCTTTGTTGGCATACACTCGCCGTGCCTTCTTTGAAGAATCACTAAGAAGCGAAACCTTAACGTGAGAAACTGTTGAAACAGTGGGCTAAATGTTTGTACACGTCATGATTTATTTAGTTTTGTGGTTCCTAAATTATGATGTTATCACTGTGTTAGTGTGGGTGAGTGACATGCTTGTACTGTTCCAACCGAATTCCATGTAAGTCGAGGACTCAGTTACTTATTTTCATCTTGTGAATTTTTATCAAGTGTTTCTGACTGCTTGGCTGTACATGTGTGATCCAACAGTGAGAAATGCCGAGATGCCACAGACATGACGTGTGCTCTGTTCTGTACACATGTACAGTACCTTTAACTTGTCTCGTAAAAGTAACATGTGGTTGTACAATCCTGTGGTTTCCACTCAGGACATTTCTCTTATACAATCCCACACTCAACACACACTGCACACACTCAAAGATAAACACTTTTGTGTTGTAGTATTACAAACTGCTCAAGCGTTTTGTCCAGGCATTAATGGTTAACGTACCGCAGACTCATTGTTTATGCACAGCCATCGCTAGAACTTCTCATTTGTACTGTAACCATTGTGTTCAGTTCTTGTCATATTTTCTCACCTTAACCATTCATTAAAGGTTAAATCGGTGTTACACTAATAATAAACTAATAACAAGTGATGTTTTTGTATGATATCTATGCCCCTCTGTATCCAGATTTTACTTCTAGTCTAATTTTTTTTCCCACATACAAATCAAATCTTCTTATATTACAAGTGGGGTTTTTTTTCTTGTTTGTTTGTTTTTAATCTTGGGCACACAGTGGTATTATGGGTAATGCGCTTGCCTTGCAGCCAGAATATCATCAGTTTATGTCCTGGCTCAGGTAGTTGGCCCTGCTGGGAAGAAGTCATATTTTCTCACTGAGCATGTGGGTTTTTGTTGTTGTTGTTTGTTTCAAATATGTAAAATGGGGACTAGGTAGGTCTTCATGACAGTTTAGGATCTAAACATTAAGTTTAATTGCCAGTATTGTTGTATGATTTATTTATCATTTGTCCTTCATAGTATAATGTATTATTTGTTTTTGTTTTTGTTTTTAACATTTTATTCATATCTCGTGTTTGTTTGATTATCATTTAGTAATATATGTTTTCAAGAAAGAAATTCTGGAATGAACAGAAACTGTCAACTCATCTCTGTCGAAAGGTTTTCAAGTTGTAGAATTAAAACTTCTCTTGGCCACCAGATGTCACCAAAGAAAACAGTTTAAAAAATAGATTCGAGTATGAACAATTTTTCAATACAGTAGAAACCCTGTTTTCTAGAGCCTATATTTTCGAACAAGTCGGTTCACGAAAACACAATTTTAAACCAATAATTACCCCAATTACAATCATTTAAACAAGCCAACAATACCACGAAAAAATGCAAAAGAAATTAAAACTCCCAAAATGCCTTTAAATGCAAGTTTATGCCCCAAAACCTGCTGCCAATTGAATAATTACTGCTAAAAACAGCAGAAAAAATATCGTACCTGAACAGTGGCGTGCGGTCAGGGGAGGCAGTGCCTCACCTGCCATCATGATTTAAAAAAGTACATAAAATAAATATTAATATTTTCCACTGATTTCCACATTCCAATACAGGGCGGCTCGCTGTGCCTCACGTTTGACTGCGCGATCCAATACAAACTGGGTCACGTTTCTGATCCAGCCAATAAAGTGCAGAGAAAAATCAGCGGGGGAGACAAACAGTACTCTGCGTCAACAGGCAATTAAAAGTCGACGCCACGCTAGAGCCAGTAGTAGGTGAAGAACAGCGTTTTTTAGCTCTGCCTGATTCGACTAACTTTGGATTGTATTTCAAGACGGAAACATTCTTCAAAACTGGACTTCCGGTCCAAACAGAAGATAAGTGATGGAAGACCAAGGTCGGAGCTAAAAGGTTAGCTTCAGTTTATGGGACAGAAGAGTCGGTTTTTTTAAATGTACTGGTACAAACGAAAAGACTGGCTGTGTGTTTGATAACTACATTTTTGGCCTAAATTTTTTTCTTATCGTTTTGATGGACAACCTTTGATTAAAGCAGCAGAATTTAAAGTTTGAAAAATAACTGAATTTTTTTACTGAAGGTCAAAATTAAATTTGTGCTGCACTCATCTCTATACTTTAATTTGTTTACAGTAAATATGAATTGCTTAGACACAAGAAGGCTGCTCTGTCCATTGTATCCTCAGAAACAAACATGCATGCTTGAAAATATTTTTCTTGTATTTAAGGTACATGCATGATGTGTTCATGCATGTACTTTAAATAAATCTGATCTACAGCGAGCTGCACCAAACATCACCTTTGCACTAATGTATGGTTCATATTTTTGCAATTTTTTATTTATTTACAATTTATTCTGCCTTGTGTGCTTCACTAGCTATTACACAAAAGACAGAATCCATACTGGAATCTCTTTCTGTCTAAATTATTAACAACAAACCCAAACCGGTCTGTATAGGTTATCAGTCATGCAGGTCATTTAATCCAGTCAGAACTGAAGAAGCCTCTTGGGTGAGAGGTGAAACGTCTTAAAAAGAAAAAAAAAAACCCAAACCTGAAAATCAAGTCACAGTTTTAGGTTCATTTATCCGTGAAAAATGATATTAACCATTGATCCAAATGTGGTCTGCACTCACACGCACAAATATCCTTTTTCAGCAAGCAGACTGAGGTGTATTTACTAATATCCCATGCTGCTTTGCTCTTTCAGCAGATGAGAGGCGCGGTCTGCTCCGTTCCCTGCATTTCTACGGCTCTTACCCCTCCCTCTTCTCCACCCACCGTTATTTATGCGTAGCACCGACTGTGTGTGTGTGTGTGTGTGTGTGTGTGTGTGTGTGTGTGTGTGTGTGGAGCCCTCTCTCCTCCCAGTGGCTGCTGCCGCCTCTACACTACATGTCTCTCATCTTGGCTTTGCTTACACTCATCCTCTGATTCCTTAAAAGCATCCATTACACTCTCCTTGTACTGGCTTTCCTCTCCTCTGTCCTACGTTCATGCTATATGAAGATTAAAAACTAATTCAAGAGGAGCTATTTGTGCTGGATCTTAGAGCGGAGAGGTGAGGTGCACTGTCTGGGTTTCCTGCACACAGGAGTGTTTTTTTTTTCTTTTTCTTTTTTTTCCCAGGCTGCTGGGAGCATCACTGATGCAGGTTGTCTCTCCCGGAGCGGCAGCCAGACAGACTCAGGAGAAAGAGGCAGACAGGACAACCCAAGCACGCTTTCCAAGATGAGCTCCATATTGGGAGCTGAAACGCAAGCAAGCAACTAAAGAAGGGACAGTGACAGACAGTGACACTTGGGATTTGGTTTAAGGTGAGTGTGTGTTCCACAGAGAGTGTTTGAAAAGTGAATGAGGAGTAAGAGAAGGAAGTCTCCTGCACTGGAAGATCAACGAACTGAGCGAAGACAGACTCATTTTCTGTCAAACCAGGCAGTGGTGTTACAGTGAGACACCAGAGCTGGTCTACAGCATTGACTGAAGAACAGAGAGAGGGGGTTACGGCAGAAAAGTGGGAGGACCTGTGCAGAGCTGGATCTGGACAAAGGTGAGCCTGCTGCTGGGATCTATAGTCACAAGAAGATAAAGACTACATGTATATTTAATATAAATCTATATAAAATAAAGACTCTCCAAACTGTGAAAATTTTAATATTACATTTTCATTTTTAAAAACTCTAGGACGCTCTCATCATGGCTGTGCAGCTCATCCCAGAATCTGCCGTGTGCTTGCTGATGGTGAGTCTCTTAGAGGTTTTACATTGGTTTTCTTCTGCCTCTGTTGTGTCTCTTCAAACGTCAGCCAAAACATTTCCTGTCACACTTCGGCAAGATGTGAGCTATCTTATTAAAAAAAGGGCTTGGGCTCATTTGCTCCTCCCACGTTCTACAATCTAACAATGTAAAATCTTGTGAAACTTCCTGGTGATGCAGCCACATTTTCCCTCCTCCTCCTGCTCCACTGCTGCAGCGGTCATGGAGCTGCTGCAGTTAGCAAGACATGGTACTGAACATTACGTTCCTGTATGTTTGGTGTTAGAGTCACATGGCTGTATGTTAAAGTATTAGAGCCACATGGCAGCGTGGTCGTAAATGCACCAGCTTCACACAGAGGGAATCAGGGTTCGATTCCTGTGGTAACTGGAGGACTTAGAACGTCTGCCTATTGGCCCTGAGTGTGGGGATTCTCTGTAAGTTCTCCAGCTTCAGTTCAGAGATAAAGGTTAATTGGGCACTCGGAATTGCAGAGGACATTGCCATTTAGCTTCTGTTAAAGGTTAATTGGGCACTCGGAATTAACAACTGGTCTGCTTCTATCAATGTGAAGGGTTTAGATCTGGCCACAGAAAGTACTGAAGGAATACTGGTGTCCTTTCTCGTGTCTATGCAGAGGACATTGCCATTTAGCTTCTGTTAATTAAAATGTACAACCTGAGCAGAGGTGATTTTTCTGTGTTCATTCTTCTGCTTCCTCATGCTGTGGCCCCAGGGGCAGTCATGCATTGCCACACTACCTGCTATCTCCACCTGTCATGACTGTCTGTTACTATGGCAATTGGCCATGCACTTCACTGGGGTGAGAGAAAGACAGGAAGTGAGAAAGAGAGGGAGAGAAAGCGTGTGTGTGTTGTGGTCTACCTAAAAATTGAACGTCTTATCATAGCCACTTAAAGGATCTGATTTGTTTCTGAAGGACTTGTAGACTTACATTACATATGCAATTGAAATAGACTGGATATTGTTGCAGTTTGAGGAGATGTTATTTACACCATAATCACTTCTGTAGCCAGGTCTAAATGTCAGTCGTAAACATTGTCCACACATACAATGTAAAATATGTGCAACAACTTTTAAAATTAAAGTATCGTACGTTGAGACGCCCGTATCTCGAGGTTCCATTGTATTTAATGAAATCAGTGCTGGTTAGTGACACATATGATGTTCAGGGAAATGTCGGTGTTGACCACACACAAAATCAAGCCCCTAAAGAGGGCAACACCACCAAGTTGTGAGCAAACATTTAGACAGCACGCCGAAAAACACATTAGATCATGGCCGGGCTGGACGTGACGCTGTAAATCCTCAAGAAATGTTTACCAACGTTATTCATTTACAAGTAATGTCATTTGAACCTCCCAGGCTGCCGGTGACTCATTCATCACCAATCAAATTACTGCTTCTTGATTTGATGTGCTGTAACAGAACAGCCGCTGAGTGGGTGAGGGGAAAAGGGTGAGGGGAGAGGAGAGTGAAGGGCAGTTTGAGAATGACATCATGCTGAGACCATTGATTATCTTGTGTGTGTGTGTGTGTGTGCGTGAGAGAGAGAGAGAGAGCAGGTGTGTGCAGCACATATTTCTGTTACAGTAAAAGCATTTTTGTGTAATGCAGTGAGTTATGTTTATGTACATATTTCAGCCAAGATCTTTCAAACACAAACGTCATCAAGCCATGTGTCTCATTTTTTATTTCAGACAGAAAATCAGAAGAAAACTGAACATTCATCAGTTAATCCATTCAGTAAATCATTTACCATCTCTACTCTGGGCCGATTCTGGCAGGCACCAGCTCAGGGCCGGGAACAACCTGGACAGGATGTATATAATAAATTATAATCAACAGTATGTCATACAATAGATGTTCATATAATAAAATATAATCAACAGTATGTCATACAATAGACTTGTTTGTAAATTAAATCATACACAGGTCTTTGTACTAGTATAACACACAGTACCAGAAAAGTCACTGATCGCTAGCGGTATGAACTTCGTTAGCCCGTAGAAATCCATAAATTAGCCGCATCATAGTTTAAGCAGTAGTGTTGAAATCCTGTGAGAAAAGTAGCGGCTTATAGTTCGGGAATTACAGTCATTTCAACCTGCTTTGATTCTGTTGTTTTGAATGATTTTGATTTTTTTTTTCTACACCGTGTGTCCTAGCTTGTCCTCTGCTTCTGTGCACTCTACTGTACGTGCCCTTCATCCGCCAGTTCCCAGTTGCAGTGTCCCAGTTTTGTGCTCTGCCACATAGGCTACAACGCAACACAGCACATCCTAGAAATGGAAGGTTGCCTGCTGCTGGATGTTTTTCACAAAACACAACACCAAATTTGTCCTTTAGTAAAATATCTAATTTTTTGGGAGCCATATCTGTGTCGTTTCGTTGACTTGTACTGTACACCTGTAACTCCTGGTTATCC